ACGTCGTCACTTTAAGATAAGATGTTGAATAATAGCTCGTCACAAAGAGGATGAAATGCTGAACACTTTCTTCGCTTACAGTATGCAAGTCTGAATTTTAGAAATCGAGATATTTTAATCAAAATGTTCAAAAAAAACCTTTTACCTCTCTAACACGTCGTCACGTCAAGATAAAATTTTGATAATAACAGAGTTACAAATTTCTGTATCTTAGTCTTTATATTAGTATGCACGTCCGAATTTTAGTTTCTGAGATATTTTATTCAAAATGTTTTGAAAAAATCGTTATCATTTGGTTTTTGACCATTTGACTATTGTCCATCTTTTTTCCTTTTGCCTCTCTAACACGTCGTCACTTTAAGATAAGATGTTGAATAATAGCTCGTCACAAAGAGGATGAAATGCTGAACACTTTCTTCGCTTACAGTATGCAAGTCTGAATTTTAGAAATCGAGATATTTTAATCAAAATGTTCAAAAAAAACCTTTTACCTCTCTAACACGTCGTCACGTCAAGATAAAATTTTGATAATAACAGAGTTACAAATTTCTGTATCTTAGTCTTTATATTAGTATGCACGTCCGAATTTTAGTTTCTGAGATATTTTATTCAAAATGTTTTGAAAAAATCGTTATCATTTGGTTTTTGACCATTTGACTATTGTCCATCTTTTTTCCTTTTGCCTCTCTAACACGTCGTCACTTTAAGATAAGATGTTGAATAATAGCTCGTCACAAAGAGGATGAAATGCTGAACACTTTCTTCGCTTACAGTATGCAAGTCTGAATTTTAGAAATCGAGATATTTTAATCAAAATGTTCAAAAAAAACCTTTTACCTCTCTAACACGTCGTCACGTCAAGATAAAATTTTGATAATAACAGAGTTACAAATTTCTGTATCTTAGTCTTTATATTAGTATGCACGTCCGAATTTTAGTTTCTGAGATATTTTATTCAAAATGTTTTGAAAAAATCGTTATCATTTGGTTTTTGACCATTTGACTATTGTCCATCTTTTTTCCTTTTGCCTCTCTAACACGTCGTCACTTTAAGATAAGATGTTGAATAATAGCTCGTCACAAAGAGGATGAAATGCTGAACACTTTCTTCGCTTACAGTATGCAAGTCTGAATTTTAGAAATCGAGATATTTTAATCAAAATGTTCAAAAAAAACCTTTTACCTCTCTAACACGTCGTCACGTCAAGATAAAATTTTGATAATAACAGAGTTACAAATTTCTGTATCTTAGTCTTTATATTAGTATGCACGTCCGAATTTTAGTTTCTGAGATATTTTATTCAAAATGTTTTGAAAAAATCGTTATCATTTGGTTTTTGACCATTTGACTATTGTCCATCTTTTTTCCTTTTGCCTCTCTAACACGTCGTCACTTAAGATAAGATGTTGAATAATAGCTCGTCACAAAGAGGATGAAATGCTGAACACTTTCTTCGCTTACAGTATGCAAGTCTGAATTTTAGAAATCGAGATATTTTAATCAAAATGTTCAAAAAAAACCTTTTACCTCTCTAACACGTCGTCACGTCAAGATAAAATTTTGATAATAACAGAGTTACAAATTTCTGTATCTTAGTCTTTATATTAGTATGCACGTCCGAATTTTAGTTTCTGAGATATTTTATTCAAAATGTTTTGAAAAAATCGTTATCATTTGGTTTTTGACCATTTGACTATTGTCCATCTTTTTTCCTTTTGCCTCTCTAACACGTCGTCACTTTAAGATAAGATGTTGAATAATAGCTCGTCACAAAGAGGATGAAATGCTGAACACTTTCTTCGCTTACAGTATGCAAGTCTGAATTTTAGAAATCGAGATATTTTAATCAAAATGTTCAAAAAAAACCTTTTACCTCTCTAACACGTCGTCACGTCAAGATAAAATTTTGATAATAACAGAGTTACAAATTTCTGTATCTTAGTCTTTATATTAGTATGCACGTCCGAATTTTAGTTTCTGAGATATTTTATTCAAAATGTTTTGAAAAAAATCGTTATCATTTGGTTTTTGACCATTTGACTATTGTCCATCTTTTTTCCTTTTGCCTCTCTAACACGTCGTCACTTTAAGATAAGATGTTGAATAATAGCTCGTCACAAAGAGGATGAAATGCTGAACACTTTCTTCGCTTACAGTATGCAAGTCTGAATTTTAGAAATCGAGATATTTTAATCAAAATGTTCAAAAAAAACCTTTTACCTCTCTAACACGTCGTCACGTCAAGATAAAATTTTGATAATAACAGAGTTACAAATTTCTGTATCTTAGTCTTTATATTAGTATGCACGTCCGAATTTTAGTTTCTGAGATATTTTATTCAAAATGTTTTGAAAAAATCGTTATCATTTGGTTTTTGACCATTTGACTATTGTCCATCTTTTTTCCTTTTGCCTCTCTAACACGTCGTCACTTTAAGATAAGATGTTGAATAATAGCTCGTCACAAAGAGGATGAAATGCTGAACATTTTCCAAGGTTATAGTATGCAGGTCTGAATTATATTTATCGAGATATTTTGATCAAAATGTTTTTAAAAAAATTGTTATCATTGGTTTTGACCATTTGACTATTGATCATATTTTTTCCTTTTGTCTCTCTTACACGTCATAAATTTAACATAAGATTTTGAATAACAGCTCGTTACAAAGAGGATGAAATGTTGAACATTTTCCAAGCTTACAGTATACAAGTCCGAATTTTAGTTTTCGATATATTTTAATCAAAATGTTAAAAAAAAAAAAATCGTTATCCCTATGTTTTTGACCATTTAACCATTGACCATCTTTTTTTCCTTTTGCCTCTCTAACACGTCGTCACTTCAAGATAAGATTTTGAATAATAGCTCGTTACAAAGAGGATGAAATGCTGAAAATTTTCTACGCTTGTAGTATGCAGGTCCGAATTTCAGTTTTCGAGATATTTTAATCAAAATGTTCAAAGAAAATCGTTATGGTCTTTGACCGTTTGACCATTGATCATCTTTTTTCATTTTGCCTCTCTAACACGTCGTCACTTTAAGATAAGATGTTGAATAATAGCTCTTTACAAAGAAGACGAAATGCTGAACATTTCCTTCGCTTACAGTATGCAAGTCTGAATTTTAGAAATCGAGATATTTTAATCAAAATGTTCAAAAAAAACCTTTTACCTCTCTAACACGTCGTCACGTCAAGATAAAATTTTGATAATAACAGAGTTACAAATTTCTGTATCTTAGTCTTTATATTAGTATGCACGTCCGAATTTTAGTTTCTGAGATATTTTATTCAAAATGTTTTGAAAAAATCGTTATCATTTGGTTTTTGACCATTTGACTTTAACCATCTTTTTTTCCTTTTGGCTCTCTAACACGTCGTCACTTTACGATAAGATGTTGAATAATAGCTCATTACAAAGAGGATGAAATGCTGAACATTTTCCAAGCTTACAGTATGCAGGTCTGAATTTTAGTTTTCGAGATATTTTAATCAAAATGTTTTTAAAAAATCGTTATCATATAGTTTTTGACCATTTGACTATTGTCCATCTTTTTTTCCTTTTGCCTCACTAACACGTCGTCACTTTAAGATATGATGTTGAATAATAGCTCTTTACAAAGAAGACAAAATGCTGAACATTTTCCAAACTTACAGTATGCAGGTCTGAATTTTAGTAATCGAGATATTTTAATCAAAATATTCAAACAAACTCCTTATAATTTGTTTTTGGCTATGTGGCCATTGAACATCTTTTTTTCCTTTTGCCTCTCTAACACTCGTCACCTTAACATAAGATGTTGAATAATAGCTCGTTACAAAGAGGATGAAATGCTGAACATTTTCCAAGCTTACAGTATGCAGGTCTGAATTATAGTAATCGAGATATTTTGATCAAAATGTTTTTTAAAAAATTGTTATCATTGGTTTTGACCATTTGACTATTGATCATATTTTTTCCTTTTGTCTCTCTTACACGTCATAAATTTAACATAAGATTTTGAATAACAGCTCGTTACAAAGAGGATGAAATGTTGAACATTTTCCAAGCTTACAGTATGCAGGTCTGAATTTTAGTAATCGAGATATTTTAATCAAAATATTCAAACAAACTCCTTATAATTTTGTTTTTGGCTATGTGGCCATTGAACATCTTTTTTTCCTTTTGCCTCTCTAACACTCGTCACCTTAACATAAGATGTTGAATAATAGCTCGTTACAAAGAGGATGAAATGCTGAACATTTTCCAAGCTTACAGTATGCAGGTCTGAATTATAGTAATCGAGATATTTTGATCAAAATGTTTTTTAAAAAATTGTTATCATTGGTTTTGACCATTTGACTATTGATCATATTTTTTCCTTTTGTCTCTCTTACACGTCATAAATTTAACATAAGATTTTGAATAACAGCTCGTTACAAAGAGGATGAAATGTTGAACATTTTCCAAGCTTACAGTATACAAGTCCGAATTTTAGTTTTTGATATATTTTAATCAAAATGTTAAAAAAAAAAATCGTTATCCCTATGTTTTTGACCATTTGACTATTGTACATCTTTTTTTCCTTTTGCCTCTCTAACACGTCGTCACTTCAAGATAAGATGTTGTATAATAGCTCGTTACAAAGAGGATGACTTGCTGAAAATTTATTCTCCGAATCCGAATTTTAGTTTTCGAGATATTCGAATCAAAATGTTCAAATAAAATTGTTATGGTTTTTGACCATTTGATGATTGACCATCTGAACATTTCCTTCGCTTACAATATGTTTTTTTTTTTAGTTTCTGAGAAATTTCGATCCAAATGCAAAAACTAGTCTCACTCTAGTTTTCACTTCAAAAAACTCAAATTTTGGCCCCGCTACTCCTGCTGGACATTAACCCATCAGAAGACAGGTTAACTAATGGGGGGAACATGTGGGTTTCCTTCCCAATGGCAGTGGGGGGGAACTCCGCCCCTTGGGGCATCATGCCAAGCTGAAGACGCAAATGGTATCTTCAGTAGTCCGTTCATCTACAGCCTGTCTTGTAGTGTTCTTCTAGCCAGGTCCTTAGAGGACTGCATCTCTGCCACAGGTAAATGGTACTCCATCACCAACCCTAAAACCTAGAATTTCAGGAAAAACTCGGTACATAAACTTCAAAAAAAAAAAAAAAGTAAAAAAAAAAACCTACTTTTTAATTTTTTAAAAATTATTTAAACCACAATTTTAAAAAAATACATTTACAAAAATATAACTATATTTTTTTTATTATTTTAATTTTACTTCATTGTTATAAAAATAAGAAAACAAGGTTCCAACTATGTGACGTATTTTTGGACGGAGGACATTTTGGATGTTGTTTTAAATAGAACACGCTAGATATCATCATGTAATTCTTAACATCTGTAAAAATCTTATGAAAATATTCAACTCTATGATTATAATTCACACTTAACACTTTAAAGAATATTTTTATATAATATTTCAATTTGTTTTCTTATTTATTCTTTTAAAAAATACATATTACATCATTTAATTTGTATGTTTTATAAGTTAACGATATAAAATATGGTTAATAAAGACAAAATATTACTGAAACGAACTGTTGCTTTATTTTTATAAACATTTCATACAATTTTATTTTTTATTTTTTTTTAAAAACCTCATTTAAAAATATTTTAATTATAATTATTATGTATAACTTATACATTATTAAAAACCAAAAAAAGGAAAAATTATAATAATAATAATAAATTAGAACACATGGATTTAATTTTTTTTTATTTTGCCAACTTTACCCAGCATGTTTTAAATTAAATCTGTAAAATTATATTGAAATAATACAAAAATTTTACAACAATTTTCCGTTATTATTAAACTTTATTTGAAATATAAAATGTAAAAAATAATAATCATGTTAAAAATGTGATGTTCCAATGATTGACACGGCTAAAAATAATAAGTTAAAACTGTATCTGCATTTGGTGGCTACGAAACTTGATGTTTTATAACTGGGTTGAAGATTTCATACCGCCATTTGCATTTACATAACTTAAAAACAAAGTACATTATCACTGAATATACATCTGTAATAATTTTATATATTATTTCTATCAATTTAGTAGTTGTTTTTTTTTAATGAAGAATTAAACTCTATTCGATTATAACACTAAATTTATTTCTGATTTGAGTTTAAAACTTCATTTTCTATTTTTCTTTTTTTTTTAATTGATAGTTATTTAGTTCAAAAACTTTACAAGTAAATGTGTATAGTTCAGAAACAAAAATGTAAAAAAAAAAAATCTTAGTTTCAGAACACATGTTTTGTGGCTTACCGTTGGTCTCTCGTTCTGGTCTCCATCTGATCCATTCAAAACTCGAAACTTGTTTTCTTAAAACATAATTTAATAAAATAGATACAATCTTAAAATGTCTGTTTTTTTAAATGCTTGATTAAAATCAGATTCATTTTTTAGTTTAGTTTTTCAATTATTTTTTTATTGTGAGATTGAAAAGTGTAACTGGAGACGAGCTTAAAAAACATGGCCGTCTTTCAACTATACGTCGTGTAATCACTATTGCATCTTATTAAGAAAATAATTGTATCAATTGATACGAAAAATATGATGTATTAAGATTCAAATAAGACTTGATAACCATATTACATCCATTGGAACACAAATAGAATAGAAATTCACGAAAATACAAGATATTTCAAAACATCTTGGGCAATATGAAAGATAGGTCAAACTTCTATAACATGAAATGTTTTCATAGAACTAAATTTATCCATTATTCAAATGATAATTTTTCTTATAATTATTCATTATAACCTCTTCTAAGCATTAAAATTGCATTTGTTTTAATTATATTCCTTTGCAGTAAGGAAATAATAACCATTTTAAAATCAAAATACTTTATTTAATAATCATGTCAATAAAAAAAAAAAAAATTAATGAATAATAAACTTCTTTTTTTTCTCTTTGCCACAATGTTTATTAACTTTATTTCAAATTACACACATTTAAACTTTTTGGCAATTAACAAGCTTCAGCAATATCTGCTTATTTGTTTTTTTAGCTTAAATTAAATTTATAATCTCTTATAAATTATTTATTATTTATTAATTTATAATATAATAAATTATATTATAATGTATAAGTGTTTTTAAAAATTACAATTATCTTTGACAAAAAAAAATGACAAAGGTATAGAAATTATTGATCGTTATGAATATGATTTGAGATAACAAAAATATTTAAATAGTGATTGCTGAACACCGGTAATAGCTGAAACTTCAAAACTTACATTATTTGAAATAAAGTTTAATAATAATTGTGGGACGGCAGATAAAAAATTTGTCTATTAGTTGTACTTATGAGGGTGCCAATAAAATAATAAAATAATTTTAATTTTTTCAAAATCTTAGAAATTATTATCTTAAATATTTTTGTTTTTAGAATCTAATGTGACAAAATGGATGAAAAAGTCATGTTAAAAAACATTGTTTTGAAATAAATGATTGAAATTAAGAGGAAGGAAACAAAAAAACATGCAAAAATAGGTTAGAGGTAATTTTGAATGAGAGTAGTGATTAATATTTTCAAATTAAAAAAATATTTATTGGTTCAGGTTTATTCAATGGAAAACTAATTTATTTGTTTTATATTATTTTTATATTTTATTGGGAAAAAAAAGTTGGACATGAAATATGATCTTTTAATTTATTTATTTATTTTTTTTAAGAACCAAACCCCAATAAATTTTATTTTTGGTTAATCTATTGGTATAGTAAAAACATTTTTAGGTGGATAAAATTTTAAATGAACTCAGGCTGTGGCAGAAAAGAAAACTTATTTAAAATCTTCCAGATTTTCCAAGGCCTTATAACTTTGGCTTGAGTTTTTTCAAAACATGTTCAATGTGGATTTGTTCTCTTATTTTGCATGCCTTCCAAATGATTAATTCTTAGTTATGAAATCTACAAATGTATGTTTATAATTTTTATAAAACAATCAATATTATAGCCATGAAAATATTGATTTTGTAGAGTTAAATAATTTTTAAATTATATTATAATTTCAATTTAGATTTTTTTTCCTTCCTCATTAAGGTAATATACCAAGATGGGAGGTGGGTGGCAGGGCATTGGTGATCAAAGACCATCAAGAACATTACGTTCCAGGAAATACAAGTAAGTAAAATTTTTTATATATATATATATAATTATGAACAATCTGTATATATCGAGCAGTCTCCTTGTGTTCTGATTACATTCCTCACATGGTCATCTTAAAAAAGCAGATAAGTGTCCTGGGAATGCCAAATTCATCATGTGCCAAGTAAATTTTGGAGCGATTAGTGCTATCCTACGCATTCTTTAAATCTACAAAAAGATGGTAGGTTGTTATATTATATTCAATCTCCTTCTCCATAACAGTTCTCAGGAAAAAGATTTGGTCCACTGTGGATTCCACATCCAAAGCCAATCTGGTACTTTCCTATTTGTTCTGCGTAGGGACAAAATCGATTAAAGATAATTATGGAAAGAATTTTAAATGCCGTTGGTAGGAATGATATTCCTCTATCATTTTTGCAATCAAGTCTATCACCTTTTTGGTAGATTGGGCAATTATTCCTTTTTTCTACTCTGTTGTCATCTTTTTATCAATCCAGATTTGCACCTTCAAATTAGATAGATAGATAGATAGATAGAAAAAAAACAACTTTATTCTGGGACTAAGTCCCTTTAGAATAACAATATTGTACAAAAGAATAGAATATTACTGGCCTAAAAGTTTGAAACAATAAATAAAATTGATAAAATAAACTAAAAAGTAAAGAAAACCTTAGGTGCACAAGCTATATACAATACAGATAAAACTATGTACAGAGCATTTAAAACTATGAACAAAACAATTAAAACTATGAACGAATCACTTGAACTATGAACAAAACTATGTATAAGGGTTGAACAACATAAACATACACTTTGAGAAATGAAAAACGAAAAGGAGATAGAATGAGTTCATTTCATAAAAAAAATTTTACTTGTATTTATAAAAATAAACAGTTAATTATAACTGAATAAAAAAAAATGTATGTATTGAAATTCCTACATCGATTGTAGGAAATACATGTACTATCTCTTACCAAGTATTATCATATGATTATATGATTGCTACACAATGCATATATAGTATTAATAGTTAGCTGGTATCTGACTGTTTTTGGAACAGGAATTGGAATAGGAGGTTTTTGAATGTGTATAGGGAAGGGGCATGCCAAATTATGGTCGGGAAGGAATTCCAAAAGTTGACAGAGCGAGCTATAAAGGAGTTTTGGAATGAGGCAGATCTATGAGAAAGGATGTATAGGTCAGAGGGTCGAGATCTTGTAGTGAGAGAATGGATTGAGGACTTAAATTGGAAAAGGTTGTAGGCATAAGAAAGGCGATGATCAGAAATATTGTCTTGTTAAGGAGGGGAAGAGCCACCCTAACTCAGTGTAGTGGTGGGAGACACGGGGTCCCAATTACAAATCTTACGAAGCTATTCATAAGTCTTTTGAGTCTATCACAGAGTTCCACCGAGAGGCCATCGTACACCACACAACTGTAGTCAAAGTGGGGAAAGATGAGAGAGGAAACTAGAAGTCTACAGGTATTTTGGAGTAGAAGATAGCGGAAGTGATGGAATAGTTTGAGGGTAGAAATTGCACGGCGGGAGATATGAGAGATATGGTGTTTCCAGGAAAGGGTTTGATCTATGAAAAAGCCTAAATTTTTAACAAAGGGGTAGAAGGTGATGGGGTGGTTGTTTAAATAGAGTGAGGGAAAGTTGGTGTGGGATCAAAGAAGGGGCTTGGAACCAATGAGAATGGCCTGAGTTTTGGCAGCATTTAGCCTTAATCCATTTAAGTTGGCCCGGGCACTAATTCGATCTAAATCTTCTTGAATTTTGGCAAATGCCACCAATAACTCAGCGGGAGAAAAGGATAAATAGATTTGAGAATTGTCGGCATAATGGTGGTGGGAACAATGGATGATTGAATCATTTAGGTCATTAATATAAGAGCTGAAAAGAAGAGGAGACATTTCTACTAATTATGAAATTATGAAGGGTCTTATACAAATCGTCATCTTCATATTTATATTTAAGTCTACTGTGAGGCCATCCAAACCCGGACTTTTGTTGTTTTTTATTCTATGGATCACTTCTCTGAAATCTGGAGAGGGTTCATTCACTTCTTCTGAGTTCTCGTTTAAAATTTTCCTGCCTGGCAACTTCTGCGTCTTCCACTTTAGAGTCATTTAGCACAGCTTCAAGATGATGCACCTATCTTTGGAGAATTTCTTCTTTCTTCATGAGCAGCGAACAGCGAAGGAATAGAAGTTGGTTTTAAATTGGCTCTGTCCTGATTGATCCTACAACAAAACAGACTGCTGGCATTTACTTTTTGTAGTTTCGCAATTTCTTTCAGTTTTTTCCTTTCCCAGGTATGAAACATGTTTCAAAGTAAGAACTGGGGTTAGAGGATTGTGGAAGGTCTAAGGAGACTAGTTTAAACAAATTGAAAATTTCTTTATGTATATATCTTGTCAGCGTTCAAGCAAAAGTTATTAATTCCAATTACAGAATATTGTATGATAAAAGATTCATCCTTGATTAAAAAAAAAACATACCTGCATTAAATGAATATATTCATAAAATTACAACTAAATAAGACCCTGAACGAAGTGAGTTTGGTACCAAAATAGGACATCTCAATTTCTACTTTTGATTACAAGTTGAACTAATCAAAATCTCAGTTTCAGTCAAAGTGGAAATGTCCAATTTTGGTTACAAGCTTTTCGATTAGTCATGTTTGCCAGACATATAGTAACGTGATGCAATCCTATTTTAATGACAAGTCAAATTAACTTTTTATGTTAAGTTAATGTATATTTATATTAAATTAAACTGTTGAAACATTAGTTATAAAACAGAAATAGGCGGGTGTTCCAGGACTCTCATCAAACGAAAAGACTGTTTACCCCAGAGATTAAGAAATTTCTTAAAGCATGGCTTGTGAGAAGGAGAAAAAATCCGTACCCAAATCGGAGTGAAAAAAAGGATTTAGCACTGAAAACAGGACTCACGTACACACAGGTATTTTATAAAACTTTTTCTAAGTACATTAAAAATCATAAAGTCACTGAATTTGTTTAAATATTTTCTTAAATTGAAATGAATAAGAATGATGACATTTACAGTAATATGGCTACAAATAAGCAATATGGAGGAAAATGTATCTTATTATTCTAGTTGTTTTGACCTAAGTATGAGGGTCATCATTACAGTTAAAAGTTAAAAATTACATCCAAAATATAAAATATAGACAGAAGTACTGTGATACACTATAATTAAGCCAAGATAAATGGTACACATAAAATAAATAAATAAATATTACTAATAAAGAAATTTTTTTATTAGTACTGTTTATTTATTTTATGTGTACTATATATGTTCTTTTATTGGCTTATTTATGTACTTCTGTCCTTATCTTATATGTCTGATGTAATTTTTAATTTTTAGTGCTGATTATGACCACATGCTTTGGCTGAAACATTGACAACTTTTGACTGTAAATGTTTTGAAAAATTGAAAATCCGGAGTAAATTTTGGATAATTTTTTAAAAAGTTAATAAAAATGTATCTCTAAAAAATTAGAAATATGAGTAATTCTTTTTAACATATGAATTTAATTATAGAGGAATTCAGAATAAGAGGCAGGTAACTTCAGAAATATATGCCAGTGTCGCCATGACAATAATAATTCATTTAAATATTTCATACTTAGATTATCGATTGAATAAAAAATTATAGTTTTAAATATGATAATAACAAAATTAAAATTTAATTCAGGAAGTGGAGAAAACTTTATTTGGTTTATATGTATATATTGTAACAAAAATGAGTAAAGATTATCACTTTATTAATATTAATATATATTATCAATTTAAACATAACTGTGCTATGAGATTTTTCAATCTGATAATGGTATTACAAGCTCAAGTTCTCATACACCTTATTTTCTGAACTCTGTCGTATGGAAAAAGAGAGGGTGAAATTTTTCTTAAGATTGGCCAAATCTTATTCTGACTTCTACTGTAATAGGTCAGTTGTTATGGCTATAAAGATGAAAATGAAATATTTTCAGATATGCAATTGGTTCGCAAACTGGAGAAGGAAACTGAAAAATTCTTGTAGAAGTAAAGAAGGCAGCTGGGGAAGATTAATTAAAGGATATAATAATCAGGCGAAGGGGAACGTGGAACAATTTAGCATTTCATCAGATGATAGCATTTGGGAAGAAACTGCATTCTCAGCGGGTAAATGTTTAAATATTTTTTCGATAAAGTAAAATCATACAGGACCATTATAAAGTGGATTCAATAAGTACAGTACAACCTTGTTAATCCAAACAAATTTCTGCAAGATGTGTTTGGATTATCGAGGATTACAAAGGTAGTTTGGGGAAACTATTTACAGTAAAAGACTGAAATTTAATTTAATGTAAATGTTTAAACATTTTTTCGATAAAGTAAAATCATACAGCACCATTATAAATTGTATTCCATAAGTAAAGTGCAACCTTGTTAATCCAAACAAATTTCTACAAGATGTGTTTGGATTATCGAGGATTACAAAGGTAGTTTGGGGAAACTATGTACAGTGGAAGACTGAAATTTAGTACATACAATAAATGATACCTTGCTTATTTTTGTTTTTTTTTAATTTTTGATAAAATTAATTTCAGAAATAGAACCTTCAACTTCTTTTGGAATTTTCCTGATTGTAAATACTCGTTGATGCAAAATTATAATTCTATGTTGGTCAAAAAAATGTTACTTTCTTAATTTTCTGAAATAAATGTAACATTAAATAGAAAGCAAAAAGAAATTATGAAATATGTAATGTTAAATTAAAGTAGCGAAAATACAAATAACAAAGAATTCCAGTATTAGAACAATTTTTACAGATACATTCAGTTTTCTAGAGTTTATACAACAGCTCTTGATTTTAATAATAAAGAGTAAAGACTGAAGTTGATAACAAAGTAGTAAAATTTAAACAATAAGGTAGCGTTATTCAGGGTATGGAAAATCAACACATCAGATTGGTCCCTCGGTGTGTTGTTAATTGAAAATAAATATATATATTTTACATTTATCTTTTTACTTTCACTTACGTATATATGTAATATATAGTAAGGGTAAGTATTTCGCATCTCATTTTTCAACAGAAATACATGTTTTGAGGTCCCCTGAGTTCAAATAACCAAGTGTCGCAAAATGGTCTGTGTGTGTGTGTTTGTCCGTGTGTGTGTGTCTGTGTGTGTGTTAACAGTCTAGCTCATAAACGAAAAGTAGTACGAAACTGATATTAAGGATTTAAGGTTTGTATATGGGCCGGATGTGACAGCAACTTTTTCGTTAAAATCGGCTAACCGGAAGTGCCACTTTATATAAACGCTGAGACACATTTTTACAATTTCCTCAGAAACGGCTCTAACGATTTTGATCAAACTCGGTGTATCATTGTATAATTAAGTGGTCTTTAATATCATTTAGGTCTTATCCCCGTTGATGTCACTTTTCAGGGCTTAAATGCCAAATGTTCATATATGTCTTCCTCTAAAGTACCTTTAATATGGTTTATTCTAAAAAGTTAATCATTTCGCATTATTCAGAGTTACAAAAAAAAATGCTACATAAAACTTTTGAAAGAATTTGATAAGTTAATAAAGGAGAAAAAAAATAAAAATGCAACAAAAACTGCGTTGCTATAGACTGTAACGCCTAAACGAATGTACCAATTTCAATGCAACTTCGCTAAAGTTATTTTCTCAATACCCTTTAAATTTATCTATATAACATACTTCAACGAAAAGAAGCTGGAAAAAAAGTTACGAGGGATGGTAAAATTAAATTCCGAATAACTCAAAAAGTATACACTTTTTTGTAGGTATTGTATATGTTTTTTTTAAATTTTATGGAATTTCCTAAAAAACAAAAAAATGCATTAAAATCGGAGAATTAGGAGGAAAGATATGGTCTCTAGTTTTTTTTCCCTGAAGAGGCGAAAATTTGTATAAATTTAAAATATACTTTTTTAATTGTTGAGACTAAAAAAACTTTTTTTCTACAGATATTTATTAAAGTATCTTACCTCAGAACATCTTTTATAAGAAATAAGTACCTAAATGTATACCTTTATTCTCAGTTCTATATTTCAACACTGCAATCACCACCTCTGGAATCAACTTACTCACTGTCTGCATAGATAACTTTTTCAACTAAAAATATCACTAAAATGACATAACTCAAAAATGTTGAAATTGGAGTTAGTCATTCTGTGGTTTATAAAAGCAAAGAAAGTTGTGTAGTTTATAAAAGCAGATGGAGTGACGAGATTTTTATTGCCTACCGTCGATATATTAAATAGACATTTTGTAATTATAATGGTCTTAATGACTTGTTATCTGTAAGCTTTAAGCTTTAGCTCCGTTTCAAATGCACTTCAAAAAATTTTATAATAGCCCAGCATTGCCAGAAAATAATTTCTATTCAAAGTAGAGTGGTAAGTGAAAGTTGTGTGTTGCACGCACCAGATTTTTTATAAAAAGTTGGTGTTTTCAAAGACTTTTTCACACTACAATATATAAATCTTAATTTAAGTTTTTCTTTATTTTTAGATTCTGATACAAACTGTGATTATGAAGAGGAGACTATAGAAAGGGAGCATTGTTACACTGAACGGCCAACATTACTCTCTCGATGGCTAGAATCAACAGCGAGGTACACGAACGGGGAGAGCCGCTGTAATGGTATCGAAGCGAGGTACAAAGATCAATGCTGGAGGAGAGAAAGGGAAGAACTAGACGCTGCCGAGGCCCTCACCTCTCTGAGCCTCTGGCCAACGATGCACTATCTTGCTAGCCATTAAATAGTCCGAAGGCTTTTTAATGAGAAATTCATCGTTAGATGATAGTTCATTCCACTCTGTGTTATCCTGACTTTAGATGTTTCTAAAATGTACAGAAAGTACTCTTAAATGTTATAAAATAGTCAAATTTAATTGTTAATTCTTATTAAGAGAGGGAAAAAAGATCTCAATAATTTAAAGAAGTGTTTTTACACCAGAAATAACATTTTTCAAAAACTCATTCAGGAAAATGTTAATAACTTTTTCTGATTATATATTTTTTCTTAACATCTGATTTAACTTAACCAATTAGTAGCAATATTAATAATAGGAGTTATAAAAATGCTGATAACACAAAAAATATCAACATTTTGCTGATAACAAAGTTACTGGTAATATTTTGGTGTAAACACACCTTTAAAGAGAAATTTCGCAAAAGACTAAAATTAATATAAATTTCTTTGTCAGTTAACATACAAAAAACTTAGCTAATTATGTAAATTTCTAATAATTTAAGTCACAATATTACATTATCATATAAATATTTTCAGTCTAAGGAAAGAATTGGATTTATTGCCACTTTCAAGTTACCAATTATATTTGCTCAAAGACTGAAGTTCATATAACAGAAAAGTTTAAATAGGTTTTCCAACTTTTGCTCACATCACACTTAAAATATACATTAATTTAATATTATCGGTCTCAATATGAAACTGAATGTTTTAACTTAGATTTATTGTGTACTGCAATTTATTTTTTTATTTTTCATCTTGATAGTATATTACTTGATAGTTTTATTATAAGAAAAAAAATCAATCTGATATTTTTTTTGGGCGGGAGGGGGCTTTTTAGGATTTGAAAATTATGCAGTTTCTTACTGAGATAGATGATGTATTGTTTGGTGCTGAAAGGGTCACAGCTGATCTGCTTAGGTTTTTTAATATTCTTTATTTAAGGTCTCAAACCAACAATTCACACAAACATTTTTTGGCGTTGGCCCTTTTTAGCATCAAGACACAGATAAGTTGCACAAAGAAAAAGAAACATGAAGATGCTTATATAATATATTAAAACAAAAAAGTAAATTGTGAATTTTCAGGCTTACAATTGTACAATATTTTAGTAATTATAAATTATAATTAAACTTAATTGATATAAATCAGTAAAAAAACTCATCAAGACAGAAATTCAATTTTAGATTATAATTGCAAAAATTCCAACCACACAGTCTTATTTATCCAAAATACAGGTAAAGAACTAAAAACCCATCAACATTTAGCACATCAGGATAGAAAAGAAAAGCAAACGGGTTTTTATTTTTAACCTGTATTTTGTAGACATAAGGCTGTATGGTTTGAATTTCTCTAATTATAACCTAACATTAATCATAATTTGCAATGAAATACTTACAGAGCTAATTTGCAAATTAAAACCAATGATAAATAATTGATGTTCTGTATACTTACCAGCATAGAATTGTACAAAGGTGTATGTCACTTACTATATGCAGTATGGATGTTGAATCAAACAGATATAATTATGTGGGTTCTTTTGTGAAGTAATTTCTTCTGTTTTAAAATAAATTTTGCAAAATTCCACTCCTGGTCATCTATTATACACAACACTAACGGATCCAGGATTTAATTTTGGGAGGGCTTCAGCTCGAAAGATTTTTTTATGTATAGATATATTAGGATAATTACTTCGGAAGAAAGAAAGAAACTAACTACCTATATGAAATTGTCTTTAAATGATTGTTGAAGTCCTATTAACTGTAATTAGATGAACAATAATACTTTTAAAGATAATTTTTTTCATAAAACATGGTTATATTTTACCATTTTGCAGGGGCTTCAGTTCGAAAGCCCCCTCATCTTCGCCCCCTGTAGATCCACCCGTGATACACAATAAATTTATTTAGTTGAAAAGGAGTTTATTATCAAGTGTTGTTACTCAGTATTTTACAGACGTGGCAAATGGAATTGGTATATATTTTTTCATATTTTATCCAGATAATTGATTCAATGTAATGTCTACTTAGATTTGTAGTAGAGTTTACTTCACAAAAAAAACACAAATTTATGAAATCATTGTTCCTCATCAAATAATAAATGAATAAATATTTAATATTTTGTTAAAAGAGCAGAAAATATGTTAATAAAAAAAAAATACCATATTGATAAAAACATGAATACTAACATATATGTATACTTATTATCATTAAGCTAATTAAAATGATTATCATTGCTACTGAATTATTTCAGTTATATTGCTCAAAACCAAAAGGCACTTTTTGGATTAAATAATTGTTCCTTAATCATAAGGAGATTCCAGAGTATAGTTTTATTAGCGTTAATGGCAATTTAGCCGCGTCGTAGTAATTACAAGTAGAGGTTGATGTTATTGTTTGCTAATAATTATTATATTATTTATAACTGTTAAGTTATCGCTTGTTGTTTATGATAAAACAAAGGCTTGAGTGATTCTAGTCTAAGTGAACTCGAAGATCCACGATTCAACTACGCCTGGAATTCGAGTAGTAGCTTTTAAAATATATGTATATACGTTGTAAATTATATTTATAAAATATGTATAAAGTTTTGAGACATAAGGAAAAAAATCTTATTAAAAAACAGCTATATATTAACTCGTTTTTCCTTTAAAACCTATCACTCTATTAGTTTATTTCTAGAATAGAATAGAATAGAAAATTGAACTTTATTCTGGGACTACGTCCCCTTAGAATAACAATGATAAATTAATACAAAAGAAAATACAAATCTGGCCGAAAACTAACTTATAAAAATTATATACATTAATATAAAAAATAGTATGTAACCACTAAAAAATGAACATAAAATCTTCTCAAAATTACTTATTATTATGATGGAAGAAAAAAAGAAATTACATATTTATATATACATAACTACACAATTTATAAACTATAGGCTAACTAATAAATAATTACCTTAATAAAAATGTAATTATATCCACAGTGATTTACATAATAATATGCAAACACTAAAAGAAATAAAAATAAAATCTTCTCAGGAATACTTGTTGTGTAATGACAAAAAAATAAATATATATACATACATACACATATTAGTACATAGAGAGACAAAAAGCATAACCTGGATAAATAAAAAATAAATAAAACAATAATATAATAAGACAACAAAAGTAATAACAGAAAGGTATTGATTTAGATGTTAAAATATAAAAAGTAGGCTAAATTAATAAACTAACACTATAAAATAATATGTTAGCAGTTAAACAAAAAATCTTCTTAAGAGTGATTATAGTTGAAATGGAAAAACAGAAAAATAAAATAATGGCTGATAAATATTCAGGACGCAGTCATTATAAGGTTTTTATTAGTGCCGGGGTTTCAACCCCAAAATGTGGGTCATCATCGTTCAGAGTAATTGAATACCTTCAGTGCTCGAACCACGCCCTGATGATGACCCACATGTTAGGGTTGAAATGTCGGCACTAATAAAAACCTTATAATGACTGCGTCCTGAATATTTATCCCCTATGATATGCAGAACAGTCAACTAACTTTGTATATGTAAAATAAAATACTATGCGGTCATAACTAAAAACTTTTTTTATATAATAGAAAGAAAGTGATCTAAAATAGGTTTATCTAAATCTCAAGTTTTATTAACTAAATAAAGTATTAATTTCTAATGAAAGTTGGCTGGTAAGAGAAAGTTGTATGATGCATCATATCAGATTTTTGTTTATTTATATTACAAATATAGTGCGGGGATGGTTGACCGTAGGTTCTAATTTCAGAAGAAGTTAGTCGGGAGTACAGTCAATATATAAAATACTATTATATGATACAGTATTTCACATATTGACCACACCCCCGATTTACTTCTTCTGAAATATATTAAGAATAATATATATAGATTAAATAAATAGAAATATATTTTTATATATTTATGGCTTGTTATTGTTTGTACTATAACCAGAATATAACTGAATTATATTATTACTGAACTAGCTGTTAACAACACTGCTTTGCTCCCAAATATTTCTTTTCCACCATTACAATTAAATTTACCCTGATAAGGGTCTTAAGTTTTTGATGTTAGAACAACTATTTATAGACTATAAACTGCAACAGTTTATAGTTAGAACAACTATAAAGCATGCAAAAGCTTGAGCTGAACAGATTGAACCAAAGTTCAATGATAAATGTATTATATTTTTTATGTATTTTTACTGAATGAAGTTAGTTGACTGTTCTACGTATCATAGGGGATAAATATTCAGGCCACAGTGATTATAAGGTTTTTATTAGTGCCGACATTTCAACCCCAACATGTGGTTCATCATCAGGGCTTGCTTCGAGCACTGAAGATATTCAAGTATTCTTTATGATGACCCACATTTTGGGGTTGAAATGCCGACACTAATAAAAACCTTATAATGACTGCGTCCTGAATATTTTTCCCCTATGATATGTAGAACAGTCAACTAACTTCATTCAATAAAAATACATAAAAAATATAATATATAAATGTAACCCAGAAAGAAAGAAAAAAGCAAGAATTGAGGTAAAAAGAAAAACAAATAAATAGTGAAAATAATAATCAAACTAGTTTGATTATTAATTTTCATTAATACATCACCATCTTTATTCTATCTCTATATAAGATGAAAGAAAGATGGTGCAAGTTTCTAAGCTCAGTGCTAAATTCTACCACTGGATTAAATCCAGCAGCAATTTATAATGAGTTTAGAAATGACCTACTTTGTTCCAGTGGGAAGTTGACACATCTTGAAGGTAACAAAACACATGAAAAAGAAAAAAAAATTAGGAACTACCAACCAACTGGATTTTTGAATTTTAAAACAGAAATAAATAAAGATATAAAGTAAATTGAATGTAAATAATATTTACATCAAGTAAATTAAGAAATAAAAAAAGGAGGTTATAATGAGGTTACAACCATTAGATATATCAGTGAATCAATTGATGAATAAAGGAATGTGCTGAATTCCATTTATGAGCACAGAGTTTATAAACTTGGCCATGCATTTCACTCATTAACTTATTAATAAATTTATCTTTAAAATAACGATGCCTATGAAGCTGAAATTTTATGTGGTAGTTGCTCTTATGCTGTAGATGTTTAATAAGGGTGACTTTGGAAAATATTGTACTCTTAGTAGTTAATAAAATTATTTCATAATCCTAATAATAAAAACTGTTCTTCGAAAAGTACAAGACTTCTGGAAAACTACAGGCAATTATCTGAAAGTTAATGGAAATTAGCATATTTTTATTTTGGAAGGAGATGGTCTGGGGTGGTGGTCATAAATAGACTAAATAGCGGCAAAACTGTTTTATTAAAAGCCAACGTTTCGACTCAACTTTGCAGGTCTTCTTCACAGAGGTGTGTTCAGCTAGGAGTTTCACTCAGTTCTAAGTGAAACTCCTAGCTGAACACATCTCCCTGAAGAATACCTGCAAAGTCGGATCGAAACGTTGGCTTTTAATAAAATAGTTCTACCACTATTTAGTCTATTTATGACCACCACTCCGGACCGTTTTCCTTCCATAATAATACAACGTTCAACTATTAAGTATTCAGTATTTTTATTTTCATTGAACTTTGGTTCAATCTGTTCAGCTCAAACTTTTGCATGTATTATAGTTGTTCTAACTATAAACTGTTGTAGTTTATAGTCTATAAATAGTTGTTCTAACATCAAAAACTTAAGACCCTTATCAGGGTGAATTTAATTTGCAGTTTGCAGTCTATCTGTGAGGAATTTTCGGTACTTATCTAATCTAACCTAAGTTATTCTGTTGTTTAGTTTTTGTTTCTTGTGCCAGGTGTGAGTTTATTTAATTATGACTCTTGTCAAATTATGGGAATTGCCGTCTACAGAAGAAGAGGCTATCAAATATTTTCAAGATGCCAGTATATTTGATAATGCGAAATATTGTGATGAGGGTCATAAAATGAAGTTCGACGGGAAGATTAAATGGAGATGCTTTCATAGGTGTAACAAAACCGTTTCTATAACGAAAGGAACATTAAAGGGGGTTAGAGGGGTCCATGATTTCTTTTTTAATGGCTTTAAAATTCATTTATGGGTGGTCCCATAATTTAACTACAATACAGTGGTGGAAAGAGCAGCTCAAACTATCCATCGGAACTGTCATAGCATGGAACAAATTTTTAAGAGAAGTTTGTGCCCATGATATGTTATACAGGTCGAATAAAAAAATATATATATTATTTCATCTTTTTTTGTCTATTTTTATTATTTCATTTATATATATATATTATATTATATATATATATATATATATATATATATATATATATATATATATGTTTTCGTAATGTTTTTTATTATATATTTATAATGTTTTGGTCTATTTTAATTTATACGTTGTAAAATAAAAGCATTTTGTTATTATTACATTTTTTTCTGTTTTTGTTCACAATTTCAATAATATCAATACAATACAATAAATATGAATACGAAGATATAATAATATGAATATGATACAATAAATATGAATACGAAGAGCTTATCAGTGTTAAGGTTATAAACATTGGCAGATAGCAGTCGGACGCTACCCGCTATTAGATAAGTACCGAATTTTCTTTTTGTCGAACTTAGAATTTTCTTTTTCTTTTTCCCGAAGGATGTATAATTCTGCGAAGTAGCTTCATCAGTTTTGGCTAGACAGAAGAATTTCCTTTTTCCTTTTTTTCTCTACCACTTTTTCGCATGTGAATTACTTCTGTACTGAAAGTATAATTTGTTTATAACATTAATAAATATTTTTTTAAAAAAGGTATGTAATAAAAAAATAATGATTTTGAATTTATTTGTATTATTATTTCATTTTTTTCATCATTGAGGAAATATATACAGGATATAGTGGCATTTTAGAAATTATAAAATAACTAATACAAATACAAAATTATTTAATAAATATATTACACTGGAAAAATACACATTTACACGATTAAACATCATGAGTCTTTTGACTTAGACTCTGCGTATAACTGTAACTGTGTTGCAAGATTGCGGGGATGTGCAGTTATGTTGTTCACTATTTGCTGTCCGAAGGAATTCAATAAAGAAACCAGCCCTGCACGAGCTGTTGTTATATCTTTAAGTTCAGCGTATTGCTTAAGCTGGCTTACACTTAATAGCCTTTTATCGATGATGCCAGCTGAAAAAACAAAACAAAATAAAACATTAGAATTTTAATCATTGTGGATTGATGGGTGAGTGTAGTGATTAATTGAAGAGAAGATTGGTTGGAGTGATCAGTGAAAAAAAATATATAAAAATAAATAAGTATATTTTTTATACTAATAATAAAAAAAATTTAAATTAATAATAATAATAATAATAATGAAAGATGACAAAACTCCATATTATAATTATCACCCAAATAAACTCCTCCAAAAAGGTAGTCTCAAGCTCTACTGGGATGAATCGATTATAACTGACCATACTGTGATTCACAATAAACCAGACATCCTTCTGATAGATATGAGAGAGAAAAGAGCAGAGCTTATTGATGTCCGGATCCCCAATGATAATAATATAAGCTCCACTATTGGCGAAAAACTGAGAAAATACCAGGAACTGGCAATCGAACTGAAGGAATTATATCATTTGGGGAACGTCACCACCACTCCAATTATAATATCCTCCAATGGATTGATATCAAAGACAACAGTGGCAGGAACGATCGGATTAAAATTACCTCTTGAAGTGCTGAAAGAGGCTCAACACTCAGTTCTCTTAGACACAGCACGTATTGTTCGAACAATTTTAAATGTCTAAAAAATAATAGATATTAATATGAAGGTGGCTGGACTTCTGGTCTCCAACCTCAGAAACTTATAAAGAATGGAAATAATAATACTTTATTTATTCTGGGACAATCCCTTTAGAATAATAGATAAGGAACGTAATGTGGGCTAAGGTACTAAAAATAAGTATATTATTTATATTTTTGCCGACGTTTCGGCCTAAAGTTCAGATCTTCATCAGGGCTGAGAAAAAGATAGATAACAATAGGTATGAGAAACTATTAACATTAAGAAGGAAAATAATATGTAGGTGGAAAGTATAGTCTAAAAAATTTAGGTAGAATAAACTAAAGGAAATATAAAATAACGATAACAAAGTAAGGGTTAGAAAGTACCGAAAGCAACTTACTTTCTTTTCCATATCTTCTCCACTTCTATTTTGTGCATATTGATATATTTGCTCATTGAATCTTATTTACATTATTTTATTCTCTTATATGCAAGTCAGTATGTTTTGATAGATTTTACAGTATCTTAATTTTTTTATTTACATCTATTATTTTCTTTATATCCTATATATTATTTCTAAAAGTTTTTTTTTTTGTCGGTACGCCATAACTTCTTGTGGAAAGGAAATGGACTGAGGAATTGAATTGAAGAAGGTTCTAGGTGTAAGAAGGACGACGATAACTGTTGATGATTTGATAGAGGAATGTACCTAGGAAAGGGAATTGTCTTCGAAAGGAAGGGAAGAGTCACCTTAACTCAGTGTAGTGGTGAGAGACATGGGAGTATCTCGGGGCCCAAATCACAAATCATATGCAGCTGTTCCACAAACACATCCTAACTAGATTCGCTAATTTTTTTGGAATCCCCTGATCAATTAGAATATCATATGTCTTCTGGCAGTCGATGAAAACATAAGCCTTCTTGAAATCAAATTAAAGCTGGTAAACACCATTGTACTCTGAGTTTTTCTTCAATATTTGCTTGATCAATAGTTGAATGGTTTTGTTTAAATCCGCATTGGTAGTCTCCGATAATTTTCTCAGCATATTACGTGATTCAAATAGTTAAAATTAATGTGAATACAGCATACCAGAAGGAGTGAAATTTCTCGATAGTTAATACAAACTGTTCTTGGGCTTTTTATGTGAATCGGCATTAGAATAGATTCCTTCTTTTCTTCAGGCAATTACTCAGTCTCTAATATCTTTTTAATAAAGAAATGTATTTTAGAAAGGTTTAATAAAAAATAAATAAAACATTTTAGAATCAGACCTTCTCCAAACAATTTTTTCCAATTTAAACAGCTTGGTCGAAATCTGTCAATCTCTAATTATTCATTAGTGAGCTCTCACACATATTTGATACACACATATATAAAAATTTATATATCAATTACAAGGAAGAAATGAATTTTATTTATAAGAAACAAAAAAAAACATACCCATGAGAACATATTGAGGTATTTTTCTTAGTACTTTTAATATTTTATCAACATGAACTTCTTCTGAAAAGATTATGGCAGTCTCAGTTACAAATAACGGTAGAATATTTTCGTAGATGGTACCTCTGACAGCTTTATCTACTGTCTTTTTACTGAATATTTCTATGCTAGTTTTTTCCCTAAATAATAAAACACGTGCCTAGAACAATAATAAGTATTAAATGCAATTACTATATCTAAATGACACTAAATATTTATAATAAATAAATTAACTTGTATATTTAAGAAATTTTTCCTGAAAAAAAAAAAATATAAAAGTTTCCATTTATTTGGAACTTTTATTTAGTTTTTATGGAAACGGCTAGTTTTCAGACATTATAATTCTTTTTTTTTTCTGTCTCCATTAACTTCTATTATTTTATATATTAGATATTATTTTTTCAAAAATTTTTAGTTTTCCAACAATATGTTGCACATATGAATTTATTTATTTAATCTTTATTTGTTTTGAGGGAAGAATCCGATACAAATAGAGTCTATCTTTGTATAATAAACATTATTACTCTTATGATCTTACAAATTATTTTTTTTTTTTAATTTTTATACTACATTACAAATATTACAACAATCTTACTACAAGGATAACTTCAAAATCGAATTTGTTAAAAAATCTGACAGTTAAAATAGTGCAAATTAATAGTAATTATATAAAATCAACCAAATACATATACAAAAACAATAAATGCATTTTATTTTTTAAATATTAATATTAAACTATATTTTAATATTAAAATAAAAGATTACTCGCATGAACAAAGTAAACAAATAAGAAATAAGACCTCAACAGACTACATTTTGTAATAATATTCAAAGGACAATATTCCAGATTACCCCGACAATTCTCTATAATTTAATATATTAGAGATGAAAAAATATAATTTTCTTATAATTTATAATTATACTTTATATAATTGTAATTTTCTATAGTGGTTGGCTCAAACGTTTCTATCCCATTTAGATTTTCCATATCCTGGTATATTCTTACTCTTAAACTATTGTATATTGGGATAAACACATGATAAAGTATCTTGTATTATTTAATGGAAATCAAACGTATATATATTTTAACTCTTAATTTCCGGAAATTTATCTTCAAATTGGAAAAACATTTTGCCTGTTTTTATGTTTTGGTAAATTCTGAAATCTGTTCATAGTTTATATTCAGCCATTTTTTATTATTACTAACAATTAGAGGCAGTTAATTATTTCGAATAAAAAAAATCAAAGGTACTTCAAAGGAAGACATTTTGGAAATATGATATTTAAGTCCTATTGAACCATATTAATGAGGAAACAAACCTAGCTGATATTAAAAGTCATTTAATTTTACTTTTTCACTTTTGTACAACTTTTTATTTTTGAGCTACACGATTAATACACACACACATACACACAGACCAATTTGTGTGATCTCAAAACGTGTATTTCCGTTGAAAACTGGGATTCAAAAATTTTTATGATCGGAATACTTCCTTTACTATATATTTCATGTATAGGTAAGTGAAAGTAAAAATCAAAGAGTTTCTTTCTATATTATCCAAGGCACTCAAGAGATCTCAGTATTATTTTGCTCTGTTTACCTTTTTAATAGATTTATAATTTTTCATAGACCGAACTACAGCCTGTGGACTGGGTCCCAAGTCTCATAAGAACTTCCGATTCAGCGTTCGGAAATTTCTTTGATTACATTGTAAAGCTCAATATTTTTTTTTTAAATATGAAATTTAGCAAATTTCTCATATAAGAGGTTATGATATATTTATCCAACATTTATAGCATGTTTTTTTCTCTTACAAAGCTCATGTCACAACTGAAGTATCATTTATAGAACAAGAATTTTGGTTTATTATTTTCAATAATCAACCAGTGATCGACCAAAAAATTCAAAACTTAACCCCATTCAAAATTTGAGGTTTCACGTTTCAGGATGAGTAGAATTCGAAAAACAAATAAAAATTTTTTTGTCTGTCCGCCGTCCGTGCATTTTCTCCGAAACTACTGGATCGATTTTTTTCAAATTTTCAAATAAAATCAGAGGTCACCCGAGGATGATCCTCCTTCAGTGACATCACTACCGCCTTTTACTTTCATATTGGCGGCCGAAAAACCTGCGTTGCTATGAACTGTAGCTCCTAAACGAATGCACGGATTTCAATGAAACTTTGCTAAAGTCATTTTCTTGACGTCCTTTAAATTTATCTATATAACATACTTCAACGAAAAGAAGCTGGAAAAAAAAGTTACGAGGGATGGTAAGATTTAATTTCGAATAACTCAAAAAGTACACACTTTCCCAATTTCCTAAGCAAAGATATGGTCTCCAGTTTTTTTTAAAATGTTCTACTCCAAATGTTATATTCTTTGTTTGGTATTAAATTTCGAATATGTTAATGAAGTAACGTTATTTTTCTTTTCACATATTACTAATGATTAAAAAAAAAGTTTACTCCAATAATTGGAATCACCTTTTATTTATTTTTCTTTGTAACTAGGAAGGTAATGTTACTTTAGATGTATAGTAGTTTGGAAATAATAAACCATTGTGAAATAATTTGCAGCATTTTTTTTTCATCACAAGCCAAGACCAGCAGAACTTGAATGGAGGTTTCAATGCGGCCCACAGGCCAAAAAGTTCAGGGACCCCTGTCGAAGATCATAATAAATAGCAATATTTTAAGTTTTAAAAAACTAAACAACATGTGATAAGTATTCCATGGCAACTATGGCACTGTTTCAAGGCCAAGAGTGGTGCAGAGAGATCGGGCCAGGATCAAGCTCAACCGCCAAGTTTCTCCCTTAATTCATTATTTTAATTAAGGGTACCCACTTTCTGCAGGCTCGGTATGCCCCTGGAGGATCTCCTTACCCAGAGTCATCCCACGGCCAATAAAACAGAATAAATAATTTTCTACCATGAGCCGGGATTCGAACCTGGGACCTAGGGCATTGGAAGCTCAGTACCCTACCACTGAGCTATCCCACTTCCTAATACTAGTCAATGTCAGTCACAACTAATACAAATTAAACTATTAAAAAAAAATACTTACCTGGAACTTATCTTCTCCACTAATTGGATTAACATGTAAGAATCCTATAAACTTCGAAGATTCCATCTTTTCGTAAAGTTCTTTAGCAATTATTCTTTCCAAAGGATTATCCTACAATCAAAGTCACATTCATTATGATGAGAAAAATTAGAAGCACTATAAGACATCAATAATAAAACCATATATTTAATTTTACAGAAGATAAGCAGTCCATGTAATCAATAACATTATCACATATCAACTGTAATGCTCAGTGCTGTGTACTTATAAGTTATAAAAAGTAAAAAAAAAGTAACAAATTATAAATATTTATTTAGAAATAAAAAAATTGTACTGCTCATCTAACATAATACTTCTTGCATACCAGTAATTTCCCTAACCATTCCTAAAATTATAAATAAGACAGATAACTGGAAGTATAGTTCTGAAATATTTTATCATTTGATAAAAAGTGAATAAAATGGCATCTGAAAAAAATTATAAATATATCTATTATCTTATATTTAATTATTTACATCTTCAATACATACAAATCACGTACAACTAATGAAAATAAAATTTCAGAAATAAATTCTTATAATGGAAATAAAAACTAATAATGAAATATAATTACACATTATATAAAAATTTTGGAAATTGGAAAAATCATATCAGTTTTGATCAATATTAAATAAAAAGATGAATGTCAGAAAAAAATTCATGTTTTTTATCAATTTAAGTTAAGATATTATAAATACTATCTTGAAATATTATAATAAATGTGGATACCTGAAAAAAATATATATTAATTTTTGGCAAACTTGTTCACAAAATAACTAATGTGATCCCAATCAGTAAGAAAATGAAATAAAAGTTTCACTAATAGTATCTCGAACTTTCTGGGGAAAAACTTCCATTAAACGTATAAATTGAAAAGAATTTTCAAACAGATAGTAACTTTATCACTATTTCTGAAGAAGTGATACAGTTCTTATCCGATGAATTAACCTCTAAGGTAGATTGTTCATCCTGTTTGTAGTATGTCAACAACTATATCTGTTAACTCTTGTTGAAACTAGCTTAGTATTGTGTTTTCTATTGCACTATGAATGTGGAAGAATACATCATTCATTATCGGCATATTTTGTTTATTATTTTAAAAAAAGTAAGGGTGCTGCAGAAGCTCATAGAAAATTTGCAGTGTTTACGGGGATGATGCCTTAACAGAACACACCTGTCAAAATTGGTTTGCCAAATTTCATTCAGGAAATTTTGACATCAATGATGATCAACGGTCAGGTCGCCCACATGAAATTGAAACGAGCAATGTTAAGGCCATTGTTGATGAAAATCCCACCCAATCAGTGCAGTTAATGGAAAGATAGGAAAAAGTCATATTAAATAATGGTAAATATATTGTAGATTAAAATAAATGTTATGTATATAATAAACTGAGTTTTATTTTATTTCACTCTGAAAACCGAAAGGACTTATTTGCTAACCAAATAAAATAATAAATAATAACTTTGATCGAGTAATTTCACAAATATTCGTAAAAATTACGAGTCTGGATGAGTAATGTTCTGATTCCAAGAACATGCACTTAAATTTAAACACCAAACTATGTCAAGATTATCATTTGCCAATGGTGAAAAGGTTCTGAAGACTTGGTGTCGAATAGTCAAGTCTACAATAGTGCCCCCACCTTATTTTATTATATTAGGGTGGCTGTAAAAATTACATGTTTCTTACTCTAGGGTTAAACACTGACAAAGCAATCTTATCCTAGAAACATATTTTTTTTTTGCACCTTCTGGCATCTAAATAAGTTTAATCAAAGATAAATAACATATATGTACATGTAAAAACTCAATATCTGTATAACTTCACAAGTGCCCCACACAGTTGGCTAGTGAGCCCAGATCACACAGTACAGAATGTTAATTGTTTCGATTAGTTATAAAATTTAATCTCCAGATCTTTCTCAAACTATCCATAATATAATAGAATTATGTTAAACTTTACAACTATTATTTCACTTTATAGGTGGGACAAGACCACACTATAAATGGAATTCTGAGAATGATAAATCTGGTAAAAACAGGACCTCAGGTGAAAAGGAGTAGTAGGAGATTTGTATATCCCTTCTGATATGAGTGGAATAAACCTCTATTTTAACTGAAAAGCACCAATTAGGAAAGAAATCATAAATCACGTTTAAAATAGAGAGGTTATAAGTTGAACACATCAATACTCCACAGTTCTCAGAAGTCTTCATTTGTAGTAGTACATTTATGTATATTAAACAATGAGTAATTTAAGGAAGATGTGGAGGCCATTCACCTCCACATTTTTCGGATACACTCTTATCACTTTCGGCTACCATATACAGTGTGATCAATTTTATCTTGGTCCAACCACCAATTCATACAGTACACTTGTAAAGTATTCTCTAGTTTACATTTCCATAGGCAGTTTCTACATTAGATAGCTGGCATGACTTGAGTATCCTTGAAAATTTATATCACTGATGAGAGCAAGCATAAACTACATTCAATGCTGAGTAATCATAAAGCTACAACTATTGGACACCTTAGAAGTTGGATCAGACTAAGACAAGAAAATAATAAAATAAGATAAACAAAATGATCATATTGGGCTATTATTCAAAGTGTTAACAGTTGTTTACTTACAATTTCAACTTTCCTAACTGCTAGTTCCTCATTTTTCATACATTTTACAGGAGGAGGTTTAAAAATGGTATCATATTTATATATTGGTTTGACTAAGGCTTCGTATTTAGCTCTAATATAATGAGGAGGTCTAGGTCTTTGTACATTTACACGCCGGTATCTTAAACTCTCTAATCTTGGGATCCACTTTACGCCAAGTAAACCTGTAAAATTATAAATAAAGATTAATCATAATAAAAAAGTAGATGAGATTTCAAAAAATAATATTTACCTTCTTTAACAATAAAATTAACCATTTTAGTGTGGTCGAGTAGGTTTCGAGCATGAGAAGGTTACAAATAACACTATCAGTGCAAGGAAGTAATAACAAGATAACAAAAAAATTGGTCAAGGTCCTAAATTTAGTGCTAATTCCATCGACAGAATCTATCAATACTACATAAGCCTTCCAGTTGACGGAATGACTAACTCCAATTTCAACATTTTTGAGTAAATTTATTTTAGTGGTATTTCTTGTTTGAAAATTAATACCGTAAAATTTAATAGCGGGTAAAATTTAGTTTGTGGCGATTCGGTGGTAGATACACTGTGTTGATACAATCTGCAAAAACATTTATGTGTGCCCCTTGCTACCGTGGGGCAGTTTGAGAAAACTAGTTCACTACACTCACTGTGCAGCTAGGTTTTATTTTCTTTCCACTGTATTTTCAAAATTCTTGTTTTCACGAAACTTTTGCTAGTGCCTCGAGAATTGTGAACATCATATTATATCCAGGTGTGTGTAAACATTAAGTAATACATTCTTAAGTGTTTAATATTGAAGTAATCGGTACTTGTGAGCGAAATGGGCTCTGTGGACTGCTATCTGCCTATGTTTATAACCTGAACACTGATAATTGTGATAAGGCACTGATAATCCATATCTGTTAATGTTTATAACCTAAACACTGATAATTGTTATAAGGCACTGATAATCCCTATCTTCATATGAAATTAGACTCTCGTATAATAAGAAATATAAATATATTTGCTGTTGCCTCTTTTTTGCCTGTTTCTTATTAATATATATATATATATGTATATATGTATATATATATATATATATATATATATATATATATATATATATATATATATATATATATATATATATAAATTAATAAGAAATATAAATATAATAATAATATAGTAATTTAATAATAAAAAATATAAATAACAACAACAACACTTTAAATAACAATATAACTACAGATAGCAGTCCATAGAGCCCGCGTCGCTCACAAGTACCGAGTAATCATATTATCATAAGTACTTTGTTTCATAATCTGTAAATTGTAGATTTTCAGGTGTTGCTAGGGTAACTTTGGGACAGCCCCTATGGTCTGCATATCATGTTTGATTTTTTTTCTATTGCCTAGATTTTTAAAGAATTTATTGGACAATGCTTAGAAATTCTAAACGAACTCTTGGCACTGGGCCATACAAAAATTACACTATAGAAAATTACAGGAAGCTTTACTAGCTATTAGGAATAAAACACTATCGATCCGAAATGCCGCTTCCATGTATGGAATTATGAAAAATACATCTGAAATCCCAAGGAAAACTTCGTACGTCGGGCTATAGTGTTTTCAACGGAAGAAGAGGAACAGATGGCATCACAGGTTGTTGCCATGTCAAACTACGGATTTTTAGTCAACACCTTTGATGTACGATGTGTTGCTAATCCGTATCTAGATAAAAGTGGAAGAAAAACAACTCGCTTCAAAAATAACTTACCGGGAAATGATTGGGTAGATTCGTTTGGCCCAATCCAGATACCTATCCTTCCATAACAAACTGCAGAACCATCCGAATCCTCTCGTTTCTAACCTTGCTTCCTATTCGATCCCTGATAACTCTCCGAGGCGTCTGAAAAGAAGATAGCCTCGAGATCTTCAATTGTAAATACATTTTTTTTTTTTTTTTTGTAGAGTGTAGTAGTAGTAGTGTAGTAGTTTCTCAACCAGTGTTTTCATGTTTTTATTTCCTGTTATCACATTTACTTAATGTATTCTTTCTTAATACAGTTGTAAATATCAGAAATAAAAATGTTTACTTATTTTTTATTCGTATTAGTGAATATGCTTTTACATTTAGAAAAACACAGTCAGGACACAATATTTCGGCCACTATATTATTTTCTTTCAATTGTATACTAATGGGACTTTGTTCCAGAATAAAAAAAAAAAACATATTTCATTATAACTTTATTTCATGACTTTTATAAAATTTGGTCTAATTTTGTTAAGTTCGATACCTATATATGTAAAGTAGTAAAATTTATTTATTACATTAAAATATATATTAGTAACTGGAATAAACTGATAACAGAGCTTTTAATGCTTAGAAGCAGGGCAAGATCAAACTATGATAAATGGACTTAGTGCATTATAGAATACAAGTTACCCCGCTGTGAACGATTCCTTTCCAAACCAAACCACAGCGTCTGAAGCCACCCTCTATGGGATAATAATGTTAAGTCAATTCATCATGTTCGTATTTCTTGAACAGTCTTTAAAATAATATGTATACCTGTGAAGCTTACTTAGATTTATAAATTACTAGCTTTACCCGGCCACGCCCTGCTGTGGCTTAGCCTGGCAAAATGAAAAAGAAAGAAAATAGAAAGCACATATGAGAAGATTAGTAGCAAAGGACATCTATCATTTTTAAAAAGTTGGGAAACAAACAGGTAAATATTGTTGAATCTTTTTTGATGTAGAAAATTTATTTACCAATATCAACTGGAAAGATGTAATCAAAATAATTGAACAATACTGGAATACAACAGAACCGCATACCTACATTAAAGTGTTTTATGGAAGATATGGATTAAAATATCTCAGAAGCTAAAAATCGGACCTGTATACTGTAAGCCAAGGAAATGTTCAGCATTTCAACCTCTTTATAATGAGCTATTATTTATAACTAGTAGGCTCGTGCGAAAAATTCGCACAGCATATTGTTATCAAATGCCAAATTAATAGGAAAATAAGAAAATGCAACTTATCTAAAGATTAAGACATCAAATGTTACTTTATCGATAAATATAATCGACAAAAGAAACAAAATTAATTTAAATCTTCATTTTTGTTTGGAACCAACATGTATACAAATTTCAGTAAGCTGTATCTTTGCTAAAAATTGTCCGATTGCGATGATTTTTTTTTTCCTTTTGTAGGGAATTGAGTAATCTTTTATATAATTATAAATATTCAGGGAAAATTGTGTAATTTTTCAGTTATTCCCAAATAAAGTTTATTTTCTTTTATAACTTGTTTGCCTGAATTTTCTGGGTGTTTGGACTATTTTGCCAGCCTGAAGGAGAAGAAAGCCTTCGAAATTGGTGGCTCAATCTTGAGATTTGGTGAAAAATTAACGATGATATGGCATGCCGATCAAAAACACAATCGATGAATAATATAAACTCCTCCTCTCTCAATCATAAAGACCTCAAGTCGACGAAATGAGACATGTATTCAATGACAGTACTACAATTAATGTAAGGTTGTGTGGATGCGAACCCTATGCCTTGCGTTATCTCGAAAATAGTACGTTTTTCGGCTTAAAAACGCAGGATCCGATAGTTCCGGAGGAACTATCCGGGTCTTGCTGTACGCATCAAAATCTTTAAGATCCAATTTGTCCCGTATCGATCTACAGACCTACCACCGTTCCAGTATCGAAGCCTAGCAAAATGTTTGTATCGACTTTATTTATTTTAGAAAGAAAAACAAAAGTGGAGAATACGATTCGTGGTATTTGAGCATGGCAGGAGCTTATATTTGGTACAAAACCGATTTCGAGCCTTACTGTAATAATATATGTACGGAATTATATTTCATATTATTATCCTGTGGACTAAAAAACACCATAATGTTTTTTTTTTATTCGATTTTCGAATTATGCATATCTTGAATCGTAAAACTCCAAATTTTGGGAATCGATTACATACTTTGATTCTTCAAAAAAAAATAAACCAAAGAAGAAATATAGAGTTTTACTCAACAACAAGCCATTTTTACTTTCCTACTTATACTGGGTAAGGAAAGTATTGCAATCGAGTCAAATTTCCGACATGCGGTTTTCGACGGATTTATACGTTTCAGAGCCCCCTAAGACCGAATAACACATTTTTACCCATTGGTCTGTCTGTCTGTCTGTCTGTGACAAGATTTTCTCGGGAACTACTGAAACGATTTTGTTGCTTCTTTTTTTATTTTGTAGGGTTTTGACTACTGATGCCTGTGACGGTGCTTCATGCGCAATAGCGCGCAATAAATGAAAAACCTGTTTTTTATAGAATGTAGCGCAAAAACGGCTCTAACGATTTTGAAGAAACTGTCCCATAATGTTCTAATCATTGTTCTTTCAATTTTCATATTTAGACAAAAGAAAAAATTCAGGAAAAAAAGTTATAAAGAAAAGAAAAATGTTATGGGGCCTAACTCCCTAAGTATATATTATACGGTAAAAATTATAATAAAACTTTTGAAAGGTAATTAAATTACCAACAAAACAAAAAAAAAACCATCGGAATCAAACCAGTATTAGCTATTCTATTATACAGCTTATTCTATTTTACAAATTTTTTTTAACTTATTACTTTCCTACCTATACTTGGTAAGGAAAGTATTACAATCTGGTCAAATTTCTGACATGCGGTTTTCGACGGATCTATACGTTTCAGAGCCCCTTTTAGCCTGTCGTTCGAAAGGTAATGAATTTTTTTACAAAGCCATATAAAAATCATTCAGTTTGGACAACTATGAACGAAGTTACAGCTATTCAATTTCCAATGTAAGATTACGGTTTCATATGCTGGTGTCAGAATGAAGTAAATGAGAGAATAAAGATGACTAAGTGAAAGTAAGAAAATCTGTTGCCCGCATCACACAATCTTCACTATTTCCCCTACATTTAACAGAAATTATTGTTTGACAATACTAAGCTATGGCAAACAGTTTTTGATCATCAATATTAGGAAGTATTGAAATTTTTACACTGATCTACCTTAAGCCGGTTTACATTGCTTTAGTTTATTGAATAAATCGTACTCAAATCTTATGTTTGATCAATTTTCAGGAAAATGTATCTAGTTCAATTCTTTTTTGTTTCTTTTTGAACATATCTAAAGATATAAAAAAATTTCTAATATAGGTAGGAAAGTCGTGTGAGTGGACACACCAGATATTTTTAAGTACAGCTCTATAAATATTTAAGCATGATAAGAAATAATAGAATCAAACGATCGGTATCTACATAACGAACGATAGGAT